CATGTTGATTGCTCACTTGCTGTTTTAGCCATTCAGGGATCAAGTGATGTCACCTTTTGTTAAAGAAAAGTACAAATGTCAGTGATTCACTAAGAATGAAAAGCTCAGTGGACTCCAGCAGCCACTTAAACCTTTCAGGCACATGCATACGCAGGGCCACCTTTATGTCAAAAGACCTGGTACAATACTTTAGAGGGCTACTGAACATTAATATGTCAATTTCTTTTGAATTTTGAAATCAATACTTCTGAATAAATAGTTTTCTGTTTGATTGTACTTTTGATGTGAAAATGGCCTAATTTCTTCTGAGTTTATTCCTAAAGCGAAGGGAATTAATCACCATCTGTCTCCTGGAGAAGTCATGACACCCTGAATTATACACCGCATTGCAATTAGAAACAATACTAGTATGACAGCTGATACTGTATATGAATTCTTCTCTGACAATGGGGTTTAAAATTAGCTTATCACACAGAGAGGGTGCTTGAGACTTGCTGTAGTAGCTCAGACTATTCACTAAGAATGCAGTAGTGCTCATTTACATAAAACCAAATACCTGGCTCACATGTAATTTATGCCAAATATCCCAGGAATGCCAATATAAAGCACAAGACTTTGCTTGTCATATGGATACAATGTCCCATCAGTATTGAGACATTTACAAGCACATATATGACAGGATTAAGAAATAAAAGGGACTGCAGTTTCATCTGTAACACAAGTTAGAACAACAAGGCTGTGAGATTGTTCAATTCTTCCTTAACAATCCATCATACAAATGGTTTTTTTATGACTCATTAATCAATTTTTTTATTTATTTATTTATTTTTTAAGTAGCATAAAGGGGATTATATCTAAATTTAAACCTACAACCTTCCATTGTAAATGACAATAATATCCTTGAATCCTTGAAAAGTAAGGAAGCATGTAAATACTAATCTCTACTCTCATTATAGAACATTTGGCTCAAAAGCATTCACTTATGGGCATTTTGTTGGTTGGTCACCCAGGTCTGTGCAAGAACAGCTTATTCCTTTTTCAGATGCTCTGAAAAAATGTTTCAGCTTGCACAATCAGTAGGTGTTCTGTGAGCTCGAGAGCGTGACAGAGTTCAGGAGAAAATGTGGACATCTGCTTACAAAGTAGCTAAAGTCTTATTTGAACTAAAGTCACTAAAGGGTCTGAACATTTGTCAACTGTTAAAGTCACTCAGGTGGCAACAATGACGACAAGGTTTGAGCTCCTTCACACCCATTGGTACAGGCACACTGGTGTTCCCACCTACAGGTGGTGTAAGGGATCCCAGGGAAATCCAAAAGACCTTTTTCATGAAAGAGAACTCAAATTACACTTAGGAGCGAAATAGTAGTAGAAGTAAAAGTAGATTACATAGTGTAATGCATAATGCATTAAGAGTAAAAATAAAGCCTTACAAAAATACCTAATAAATGACTAAATAAATGACTACAGTAACATGAGTGGTTGTAATTAGTAATTAGTTACTTCCACCCTTGAAAAAGGTTAATACCATGGCAAAGTATGATGATAGAGTGCGAGTAACAATGCAGCAAGTAATGTAACTAATGTTAACTAAGTTGTGGCTTTGCAAAGTTGCTGCTGTGCAGCTAACATGCAGAGAGGTCGAGACAGTTTCCCAGAGCCAGCACACCAGCTTCAGACAGCTAACCCTAACCCTAATACTGACCTCATTAAGCAGAATGAGTATCGGCCAAACATCACTTATCAACATTAAATGGATGCATGCATTTAATTTAATAAATACCTTTGCAGGGGTAAGCTGACATGTGCAAAAGCTACAGACAAGACTTCGCCTCTTCCCACATGTAATTCACAATAAATGCATCTTAATGTAAAAGGGGGTGGTAGGTTTTTACTATATAATGGGAAGTTGTGATAATGACATTTTCTGCACTTTTTTTTGTTTAACAAAAAAGGCTTTATAATGTGGCATTAATTAATTAATTACATTACATTAATACTTTCTTCCACACTAATGGTGTGTCTGTCTGTCATTATGAGGTTGAAGCAATTTCATAAATCTTCCACAGGTAAGCTTAGTTTACACATATCAATCTGTTCAGTATAAAGAAGTTTACAGATTTTACATCTCTGAAAAGTCTGAGTTCGGGTATTGGAATCAGTGTAGGGGAAGAAAGACTTGGATCGGTACATCTCTACTTGTAAAGATAAAGATAATGATATGAGCTAAATTATTAGAGTCTGGCCATTTGTCCTATTTGTCCTGTCCCATTTTACACAGACCTGAAAACAGTATCAACACAGATGATCCTGATTAGATAAGCTGCCCAAGAAAAAATGTCTTATCTGTTTGTCTCAGCTGGTCTTCCTGAGTCCACCAGACTTTAAATCTCTTCCCTCTCAACTAAAGAGCCCCTCTCTCTCTGTCTGTCCATCTGACCGGCAACACTCTATATCCCTTTTATAAAACCCATAACTCTCCCTCCCTTGACCATTTTTCACAGACACTCAACTCTAAGTATCCTAAAATCTCCTGCCTTTCACCCATCTCTTACCAATTTCTGTGCTTTCCTTCCAATTCTATATCCACCCTAGACTCCCTCATCCCTCTCTGATCTTCCTCTCCTGTTCCTTTTCTCCCCTCTTCCAGTAAGTTAAAGCCTCTCTTTCTTCAGGCTTATAAACTCTTGTGAGCTGTGATTTTAAAAAGGAGGATAAAATCACACCTCTGAGACAAAACCTTTGCCAGCACCTGATAGGGAAAACTTAGGGACTCCGAATCAGAATCCAGAGAGACTTAAACCTGTAATGTCAGAGATAAAACATTTTGCTGGACAGTCAATATGCTAATAGTATTGTCATTGAAGTTACTTAATTTTTTATGTAAATATCTTTAAAATAATTCTGGGGGAATAGGATTTTCTATACAGACATTTATACAAATTTGGAAAAAAATGGGTCCAGTCTGTTACTTCCAACCCAAGCATGTTGGACCCCATTTACACTTAGTCACTGCATATGTTGTGGGCATATCGGCAAGCTATCGGATAACAAAATAGCAAAGTATAAATGGATCCAAGAAGCATCTGAGGCAGATTGAAATCAGACTGCTCAAACCACCTACGCATTCTAGCCAGATGCAAAAAGGTCTTCATGCATTTGTCTCTCCAAGATATGTTATCTGTGTTTTTCTAAAAGTGTAACTATGCCAGGAAGCAGTCCGTCTGTGGAAATAGGCTTTCCATCGTCTGTCCCCTGTGTTAACGGCAATTAAAATGTGTGTTGAAATTGCCCTGTGGAACCTTTTTGTCTCGCTCATTGTGTTATTGAGTTAGTATATAAATAGTTATTAACAAGGTAGTTCAGTTTCGGGTGCATTACCACCACCCTCTGGACTGGTTGAGGGCTAGAGCTGCACAATTAAACAAAATATTATTGAAATTGCAAGGTCAAGTGCAGTATCCAAATCACAGAAGTGGCAGTTTTTGATGATGGTAAAATGTGTGACAAAACAGCATCATAATGAAGTACTGTAGAGCTGCAGAGATACCCTGGCCTATGAATCTTGTTCTCCAGATGTTGTTTGTTACAGACCCAGAAAAAAATGTTCTCAGTGAAAATTACATTTGTGATGCAAAAATGATCATCATCACTAATTGTGAATCTTACTGTAATTGTCAAAATAATTACGTCTTTTTTATTTTTTTACCACATCGTGCAGTCCTAATTAGGGCCGACCCTGATTTGCATGTAGTATAAGAAAACCAAGAATTGCAATTAGATCTGGCCAACAGTGATGCATGTATGTGGCTAAAAAAAGTGTCTTAAATTGCATCTGGATTTAATCCAGATGTGAGACACTTAAAATGACATGTGTAAATGGGGCATTGCTGTCTGCCACAATGTCATTCTTCATACTACCACTTGATGAAAAGAATTTTCACATCATACTTGTAGTGACTTTAAAGCTGTGATTTTATGATTGTTATTTTTATAATAACAAAACATCAAGTGACATGTGAAATCAATGAGACAATGTAAAAGGAGTTGCTCGTAGTCTTCAGCAGCTTACCTCAGTTTTACAGAGAGTGAATATAAAAGAGTGAATATTGGACGACTCCAAATGAAGGATAGTGTTGCTCCGTGACTGCTGGATGTGAAAATAAGCAACTGTTAACAATTTCACTTTAAAAGGTGAAAGGTGATGATATGTCAATGTTGCTTTCACAACTTGTCTCCACTGCCTCCTAGTGGCCAAAAAAATATGATATTGCAAGTTTAATTAAATGACATTTTATAAGTAAGTATTATATTTTATACTATTGGATTTACCACTCTGCAGGATAGGCAAGTGTGCACTTGCGGCCAGCAGTGCGTAAAATAATAACGCATACTTTTATATGATATAAAAAATTGCAGAACTACATTCTTCCTATGAGTGATGGGTGTTGGTTGGCATATTTCAGGCTATTGAAACTTTGTTGCAGTGCTGCGGACATCTCAGCAGTTTCGGGTTGTTGCAATTAACTACAATTGATGCTAGTAGTGGTTGACTTTGTTCTTCATTATTTAAAGAGAGTAACCTCAATAGTTCACTAATCTAAAAGATGAATTTGCCTTCATGGTTAAAAGCATTTCATCAGCGGACTTACAAGCAGGTGTGGTGGACAGATGTTGTTAATAAGCAAGACAAAATTTGCTAGGACTTACTGATGAACCACAACATTATCAAATGAGTGATGCTGCTTTGAAAATAGACTTGTTCCTTGAATGTCTATTCTCACCAGAGCAGCAAAACAAAGAGACCTAAATTTCACCAAAATAAAAACACCTTGCCGAGCACTGTCTCAGCTGCACGCAGCTCCAGCTGGTTGCAACTCCTCTTTCTCTCCTCATGCCAAACTGTGGCCATCACACATTTCAAGGTCAGAAAAAGTAACACTGTGACGCAATTTGTGCAAGACTCTGCGCCATAACCACAATCAAAGGGACTGACTTACCATATTTATTGATGACACTGGTCCGATGCTGTTCACAAATATGTCGACATCTATAACAGTTGGTTTAACTGCGGAAGAAAAGAGCAAAACAATTATTGATCATGACTTTCATTTAGGCACCATACCTGCCTCTTTTGTAAGTCAAAGTGAAATCAGATCGATGAGACTTTGTTGTTCTGAACCCTTTGAAGAGCAAATAGCTGCTGTGTGAACCGTCCTCAGGGAGCTGTGGTTGTTAATAATAATCACAAATTAGTCTTCATCACATAAAACACCTCTATGAGTGTTCTCTTGAATGCAGCAATTATGCATCCATGCATTCACAAATTATTAGAGAAACACACCACAGATGCACCATAATGCAGCATAGTATCCAAACAACTCCACGTAGAATATCAGAAGAACATCAGAGGAGGTGCAGGGTAGTCCTCTGGTTCTCAAATCCACTTATCCCTGCTGGGTTTCACTCCAGCAACTAATCATGAGCTGAATTACATCTGGGATTCCAGATGAATGCAATTAACTGATAAACCGGCAGCGCTTCTATCCCTGATTGGACCGAGATTGAGCGCTGTGGTGGTCTTTGTCCTATCCCAATATCCAATGTTTTCTACCTAACCTGGAGGTAGGAGAAAATTCCACAAATTAAACAAAACCAGAACCTTTTAAATACTAAACAATGATATTCATCAGCAGCAGAGTAGGGAACACAGGTTTGATGCACAATGCAGAATCAGTAGAGCTAGTGCAGAGCTAACAGCCTGAAACACATTACCTGTGGTGGTTTGCCTTACTTTATAAAGAACTGATTTAATCACAGCTTTATTTCACCATAGCCTTGAGATCCTTCAGTCTTCACTCAGCTCACATTGGATTTATATGGACAATAATCCCACAGAATTTGGGTCTGTTACAGGGACATACACAGACATTTTGAGGGGCTGTTGACATATAATAATATTGCATGATATCATTTAAACGTGACAAGCTGTGCATTGTTCAGAAGCATATGTGGAGATTCTTTTTCCCTCTGGCTCTGGGTCGCCCCACCTCTGTGTCCTGTAGATGCATACCTATCAATAAATAATAGGAATTGGATGATAGAGCGATGAGTTAAACTGGTCTTACAGGTGTTGAGAAATTTGAATAAAGTCTTTTGTGGGTGCACACTGAGTGCCTTGTGTGATGTCATATGAGGCAGCATTGTTTGGAGCTTAAGACTACAAGTTTGAATTGAAATAGAAGTGAGAAAGTGAGGACCTCTGTAGCCTGCTCCTCATTTCAGCTCGAGGCTACATTAGCTGCTACTAGCATATCATACCTGAATGGCCGACTGAATTGTTGGCCATTGAGTTGCATTGTGGGGAATGTAGGCACCAGGTTGAAACAAGGAAAAAAAAAATCTCTGGTTCTGCTGCACTAAATTCTTTCTTGTTTTTACAGAACTCTGCAAGGATTAACAAACAAATGTTTAAAGGTCTTATGTGTAGGATTTATTAGCATATAGCATTGAGCAGATTGAAACTCACTCACTTCACCCTCCCTTTCCAAGTGCAAGGGAGAAACTTCGGTGGCCACGAAACACGCGAAAAAGGGGAATGCCCCTATCTAGAGCCAGTGTTTGGTTTTTCCATTTTGACCTTCTGTAGCAGCGTGGTGGCCCCCACAAAATGCGCCCTGTGGCGTCTGTAGATAGAAACGGTTGATTCTAAGTAAACCAAAACACGATTGTTATTATCAGGTGACTATACTATACCAAAACATACCAGTGAATATTATTTTCAATTTCTGCCAGTAGATCCTCCAAAATATAACTTATGTATCTCGGTGGCATAAGATAATACATTAAAAAAAAGGCCAGAATTACCAAGGCAACAATTGAGAACATGTATTTCAGTCAAGGTGAATCATTCCACTCTCGCTAGTTTGACTATCTGTGCTTTGTCCCACTGACTGTTATTGTGAGGTATCAGTGGGGCTGAGTCATATAATTACACATATGCCAACAACTGCTTCCACCAGGAAGGTCCTGGTAGACAGAAACAGAGGTCTGCCATGCCGATTTTCACCCAGATTTCACGGCCTGCAGCAGTACATCAACATACACACTCCTCACAGTGCATGCACACCCAATTTTTAGAACACATTACTCCTTACTATTGCCTACAGTCTAACTCCTGCTCCCCGATCTGCCACCTTCACTCACAGTGGAACACCCCTGGCTTTCCCCAACTTTGCTGCTCTTAAGGATTTCATGCTCAGCGTAAAAGTGTCATTCGAAGCTTGAACTTTTAAACCGCCTAAGTGACAGCTGTGACATACTGCTGCCATGAGCGTTCACATTTACATAGCAAAGAGCTCCTCCATCATTTTACATTACCTGTCTTTGGAGTCTTCATGTCTCAGCCAATTAAGTCCACAGCGAGAATTTTTCCACCTGCCAGTCTCCGTTCCATCGTTTGGTTCACGTGCTAACAGATGGCACACTAGAGAACACTTCTGGAGAGTCCCTGCTGAGGCAGCTTTTCAAAAGCACTATATTCATAACCACACAACACCTGGTGAGCCAACTGCATAGATCTCCTGCATAAACCTCTAAAAATAAAACTGAGACAAATAGCTTCAAATATTTGAGTGCAATATTTGACAAAATAATTCCAAAACCTTTTACGATAACTTTTGTTCTCATTTGTATATTTCTGTAAATCACGGTATAATCAGCACCCGTTTCATGCCATATAACCAACAGATGGGACAGGGCTGCAAACACTTCAAACATACTCCTACGAGTGAGTTAACAGCTGGTTGTGTGTAAGCTGTCAGGTAAATAATGTGTCAGCTTCTGCAACAGGATGTATTTTGACCTGAGGAACAGCCACCAAGACAAGAAATTAATTGGAGACAATCAACCCTGCTGGTTGTCCATCAACACAACGCTGCTCTGCTTCTCAGTCCTCTACGATCTCCTGACCTGATCTTCTTTCCCCCAAAAATGTGTTCATATGCAAACATTTCATCTAATTAATAGAGATCAATAATGATCACAGGAATCTTTCATCAGGTCACTCCCCAAAAGAAGACACATAAGTTCTCTCCTAATATTGAGGTCTTACATTATCAGAGTTTCACAGCAGTCATTATGCAAAAACCCAGACAAAGAGAAGAAGAAAAAACTTGATATTTTTGTGATCCCATTGGACAGATAAACTGGCTCATTACACTGTTTCCAAAAGAGAATATCAACGGCACAAAAAAGGTTTAATCTAATTTAGATTACAAATGTGATCCACAGTACAGTACATACTTTATTATAGAAAGGTGCACTGCTGCATAACCCTGTTTCCAATGAATTAGGCTCATATGCAGCCAATTTGCATTGGTAATTTATGTTCACCAGGAAGTAGTGTGACGTTCATAAAGTGCAATGAAAAATAAGAATGAGGAGGTCGGGGTAGGGGGTGTGAACACAGGGATGTTACTGAAATACACTACGGACATTTTCAATCTTTATGTACAGATTACATTTGAATTGATTCTCTTCTTATGGTCTTTACCTTTAGTCTCTTGTTAGATTAGTACCCACTTTGAAAGTATAAATGGCTTACATAGACATGTGAACAGCTGAACAGTTATAAAAAAAACTGAGCAGGAGGAGCATTTTGATCCACAACCTTAGAGAGAAAACAGAGAAAAGATCTGCAGGATATCCACAATTGATATAACATGTGACCCATGGTCGAAGAAAGCGTGTGCAAAAGCACCTGCTCTGTTAATTCCTATAGGCACAGTCTGCTATACACAAAGGAACCAGGTGAAGTTGAATATAAATCAGAGTAATTATTTATCTTCTCAGACACATTTCTACTGCTTAATGGTGTACATTTTACCGTTAGGATTTTTTTGGGATTAACATGGCCTAAAACGACGAAAATAATTACTATGCATGCTGCAATGTTTTTAGGCATTTTTATTGTTATTTTTGTATAATTCATGTAAAATCAAAGGTATCCTATTCCAGTAAAAAAAAACATCAACAAAAATATACTGTACTCAAACTTGTGACTCTTATGATACAAGAACAATCCTTTCCATGTCATTGATGAACTGGTGCGGATGGTGACTTTTTTAAACAAACTTAGTCTACAGCCATGCTAGCACATCAGTGCAACAATGGTGCTTTGAGCTATATGCTAACATCAGAATGCTAACATTAGAATGACAATGCTCTTGTGCTGATTTTTAGCAGGTATAATGTTTACCATGTTCACCATCTTACTTTAACATGTAGTAAAGGTAAAGTGAAGGCTGATGGGAATGTCATTAGTTTTACAACACTATATTAAAAGTTATTACAATTATATTTCAGTCTGGACCAGAGTGGTAGACAGCGCAGAGCTACACCACTAACATGAGACACGCTCAAGTGTCAGCCGGAGGCAGTGTTATTACCCAATGCAGCCAGCTAGCCAAAGCTGGTAAAATCAGCTAGTGACAAACTGCCACCATCATGATGAAAAGCTACTTTTGTCTACTTGTGTGAAATCAAGGACCCATTGTTTAAAGTAGGGCTGCACTAATAATCTAAATATTACCGAAATTGCAATATGGCCAAATGCAATATCCAAAAAGAAGAAGCTGCAATTTTTTGAGAAAGGTAAGGTGTTTTCCCCAGAAAAAACAACAAATGTCACATCATTACAGTTTTCAGTGAAATGTAAAATTGTGATGCAAAAATGATCACTCCCACTAATCATGAATTATGTCACAGTCACAATATCTGTCAAAATAATAATCACAATCGTATCTTTTTTTATCTTATGCCCTAGTTAAAAAAATTACTCAAGCAGTAAATCTGCCACTGTTATTACTCTAAACTGCATGTGTGACATGCTATAATGGAAGGCTTGATATAGCAACAGTAAACAGGGGGGTGGCAATTAGCAGCGGGTCGACTGTCAATTAAATGTCAAAGAACCAGCATTCAGCACCAACTAACAACAGCTCACCTTACCGTGAAACAGCAAAGGGATGGACAAATCTCAGTTCATGGTCAGGAAAGTAGCACATT